CTAGGATCACCTAAATCAACATAACCAATTAACTCTCCAGAATGTTTGTCCCAAACAAGATTTTCTTGAATTTTCATTTCATCAAGAACTAGGACAATAAATTTTTCTTGAGCTGAAAAATCTTTGATCTTATCTTTTAATTCTGTGATTATATTTTTATTAAATCCTAATTTTGGTTTCACATAATTTTTATAGTCACGTAGTCGCCTACGACTTGGTAAAATTAAAAAACCAGAATTATTTTTATCATTTAATCTTAGTGCTTCATAAGCAGCTGGTGATTTTGCAGCCAATCCCAAACAGTAACGTATTATTGCTGGATGATAACGAGTTCCTTGTTTTGAGCTTTTTAAATATTTTTGCTGCTCCTCCCAAAACAGGTTCATAAATGGAGAAATCTTGCTTTTATCAGCTCCTGACATTATTTTAACTAAATCACTTTCAGTATCTTTACTTATAGTTAGTGATGAATTTTCAATTTCTTGCTTCATCAAAGCTAATTCCATTTTTAATTCTTTATTTTCCAGGCGAACACTCTGTAATGTAAGCTTCAGACGATCTGAATTTAATTGGTGCATTTAATTTAGCAGGGATACAAGCATTAGTAATATTTTTTTTCAAACTTATGATTTCACTTTTTTCAATGCTTTTGCATTGAGAACATGATAACATCAAATCAATCAGCATAATACATGACTGAGATCGAAAATACTCTGTCTGATTCAAGGGAAACTCAGTCCTAGATGAAAATAAATCGAACTTTTTAGAAATACAATGTTTAATATAAAGATTTGATTTTAAAGAAAATATATTAGTTGTTCCAGAGCAAAGGCTAAAAGAAGTAACAACAGAAATAAGATTTGAAGCTGAAATATTTCGCATTGATCTTCTGTATTTTGTATATATTGAGTGATCATCTGGAATGAGCCAAGAATATACACGAATGGTAAAAGCAAGACTGTCATCAACATATATTTCATATCGAGGACATAGGTGAATTGTGTCATAAAGTTTAAATTCTGCCACAACAAGACTCACACTCACTGTCCACTCACAAATCTTTAACTTGCTAATACGATTTGTAAATTCTTCATATGATTTATATATAGGCTTGAAGGTAATTATATTATTTGAATTCATTGAAGCATCTCTTTTAGCAATGATAGAAGAAGCAGATTCTCTTTGTACAGGAATCGATGACATAAAACCTTTTTTCGGTAAGCACATAGTCGGTAATGATCCAGGTTTTAGTGACTTTCTGTTATTGTTATGAAGTATCATTTCTGGAAGATAATGCTTTTCACAAATAAACAGAGATTTACTTTCTATTTGAGCTTTCAAATTACAATCTTCAATACGATCTTTAAGTATAATGGCAATTAGATTTTTCCTCTAAGAAGTATTAAAACTATCGCTAGATGCAGGAATTTTAAATATTGAAACTCCCTTATGCCTCCTAGAAGTACTGCACCCATAAATAGAACAATTAGCACCAGGCATTTAATTAATTCGATGAAGAAGATGTATTTTAACAAGCGATTCATAGACAAACAATCGACGAAAATAAACTTTGTGCACTCTGCGTGGGACTGGACACTAAAAAAAGGCAAACAAAGAGTTGATTAAAGAAATACCGCAAGTGGCCAGACTATCTATTTCTTATGACTATGAATGTACTTATCATGTTCAAAGTAAAAAAATTTATTGAAATATTGTAAAATACAAAAATAATTTTTTTAGCATTCTACCACCTTAAAGCAATATATTTTTATTTAAAAGTTCAGTTTCTTTAGTTCTGTTTTTTCCTTATCAGGTTCTGCTTTTTCCTTATCATTTAAAAGTTCAGTTTCCTTAGTTCTGTTTTTTGCTTATCTTTTTCCTTATCAATTCCTTATCAGGGTAACATTCTTTTTTAGCTTGTTAAATTATTGAGTAGCAGAGGTAGACATTTTAGTTTCTACTTTGTATTATTTCCCACTGTTTCATGGTAAAATTGCTTTATACAAACAGCTCCAGTGTCTTTTGAGGTGTTAATTTATTGACAGTTACTCTTTTTGAAGCAGAGTTAAATACTTTTTGGTATTTTTTGCTCTGGTAGGCGTGGCAGTACTTTCTTTAATAAATTTTGCTGCATCAGAATTTCCTGAAGTGCGCTGGTTAACTCTGGCTGCATACGTCAACTCATTAACAAATACACCCTGAAAGTTTCAGGGTGTATTTGTTAATTTGTAACACTGGAGCTGTTTGTATAAAGCAATTTTACCACAAAACAGTGGGAACTAATTCAAAGTAGAAACTAAAATGTCTACCTCTGCTACTCAATAATTTAAAAAGCCAAAAAAGAATGTTACCCTAATAAGGAATTGAAACAGGTAACCGATACTTCAGCGAAAATTCAATTACAAGCATCCTAGCCAGCAAACAAGATTGAAATAACGTTAAAATAACGTTGAAATAACGTTGAAATAACGTTGAAATCTAACGTTGAATTTACGTTGATTCGACGTTTAAAATGAAAGTGTTTTTAATGTTGATTTATCAACTTTAATCAACCGGAGATTCAAACGTTAAATCAACGTTGATTTGACGCAAAAAAACGTTTCAATAACGTTGAATTTACGTTGAAACAAAAATTAAAACGACAGTTTTTTAACTTTGATTTATAAACGTTAAAGAGACTTTAAAAAACATTTTGTAATCACAGAAACCGCTGATAAAAAATGTGATCACTATGAAAACGTACTATGCATGTCCAATAATGTTGTTGTACATTATCAAGGTATATTATGGATATTAAATTTACTTATAGTCTATACTAAGACTATTTAGAACTTTTTCAGTTTAGTTATGTTAAAATAGCAAGTTATAATTAAAGAAAGAGATAAAACTTGTTTTATTGAAAAATATATTTAAATATTACATATATTTACATATAATTGAATAAAATCTATACAAATTTCTTCTCTTTTTAACCACCTTTTTGAAATGGAGCGTATTTCAGAAAGTCAAACGATGTTCTATTAACCAAGGTTTCTTTTGCTCCAAATAATAATATTTGAATAATATAATAATAATTGAATAATATAGAAGAAGCTGTAAATAGAAAAAACATATAAAAAAAAAATTAAAGAGGGAAGATTTGAAAAAAATATAATGAATGGAAAAGTGTTACAACTTATAAAGGTATCCCTTTTACAACGCCATATAGTTCTTAAAACATATTTTTCCCCCTTTGTCCTTCATTTCCACGGAGGCTATAAAAATTTTCGAAAACATTCTGAATTTTTAAAAGATAATATAAACAGGGGTGTGGAGTCGTAAAAAAAAAGTAACGACTCCGACTCCAGTTGTTGAAATTTTTTTAGCACAACTCCGACTTCGACTCCAACTCCGACTCCGACTCCAATTCCAACTCCAAAGCAAAATTTTTGAAAAATTCTTTGAAATCTTTAAAAAATATTAAAAGATGCATTAAATTTTTTTTTTTTTTGATAAATTTATGAAACGTTTTTTGAGGTTTAGTATCCTCATATAGTTAATTAAATGTTTTGTACATGCACGTGCAACACCGAAAAGTTTTACTAATGGAGTCGGAATCGCAATTTTGTTTAGCGACTCCAAATCCGACTCCGCTAAAAATGTCGCAACTCCGCAACTTTGACTCCGACTCCACAGCCCTGATAATAGTTCAATATAAAGTTTTTTATTTAAAAAAGTATAAGTAAACAAACGCTAAACTCTGATATGAACATTTCTGTTAAAAAACTGTTACCGCAAGAACGAACAGCAAGTTTAACTTTATTAAGAATTTTTCACAAAAAGGTCTTCGTGTGGCCACTTGAAGTTAACATTCTTATGAAGTGTAACTTCATAAGAATGTTTATTTTTAAGTGGCCACAAGTGTGCAAATTAAATTTGTTAATTCTCGATTTAAGTCTTGCTCCTTATTCGTTGAATTTACTTTCGTAAAATTAAATTCGTTGAATTTACTGCTTTCTAATTTTCAGAGTATGTTCATATAAATCAATAAGAACACCAGGTTAAGAATTTTATTTTTGCTAATATTTTGTTTTTTGTACACAAACATCGTGCTTTCGTTTTTTTACTGTTGACGTCACGTGGTGTAATATTCAAAAATTGATTGGTTTTCGCTTATGGCGATTCGCAAAAAATCGAAATTCGACTTTTTTTTTCGCTGCAACGAAATGCTGTAGCACAAAAAAATCGGCAAAAATTATTGGAAATGTTTTATCTGCGCATGCTTATCGACAAAAAAAATTCGTTTCGCGCGAATATTTCGCCTTGTGGAAAACGGTCTTAATTCAACTTGCGAAGGCTACATAAGTAGCATTTTCGAAATGAATATTGACGGATTTTTTGGTTTCGTAAAATTCGGTACAAGAGAAAAAATTCCTGATTCTCATTATCCTTCCGAAAGAATTATATTTTTCCGGAATTGCACGAAGTCTTCCAGTTAACAACTCCAATATTGTCACGATTACTTTACAATCGCACAAGTGTCTAAAGGGTTTTGAGTTGATGATTGAAATGTATATTTAACACAGTCTTTTATTATATGATAATATACTTATATGTTAAACCAATCAGAAAATAGTTTTTGTTTTATTGTGTTTTAAGAGCGAAAAAAAAACAATTTTTTTGTTAAAGTTTTTAGTTTTCTCAAAACATGATAAAATGACTCACGCGATTGCAAAATGACCATGACGGTATGTTTCTTTTACTGCAAAATGACCATGACGATATGTTTCTTTTACTGCAAATCAAATAATTGCTCAAGGATTTTTTAATTACATTAAAAATAGTAAGTATTGAACTAGCTTAAAAAAAATTTTTTTTCAGAGTGACATGATTAAATAATTCTCAGACATAAATATATTTAACAAAACTATTTAAAAAAATAACCTTATTGGGAAACGAGCTAAAATCAATTCCCCTCCCCGAAAAAAAAAAAAAAAAAAAAAAAAAAAAAAAAAAGCATATTTTAATTCATTGCTAAATGTTATAATATTATTTTATTATATTTTAGTAAGTTCAAATGTCTTATCGGACGGACGTACAGCTCCAAATATTGTGCAAATACTATTAGTATATTGATAAGTTCCATCGGCGTCTGGAATGATGAATGGTATACTTAAAACCTCAAGAAGTATTAACTCTGGGGACAAAATATCTATTAATCCATCTATTGTAAAATAATTTTCACCATTTTTCTTTTTTCCTCCAATCCACTTATCAATCGCTGTGTATTCATTGTTCCAAGAGTAGGGGGATGAGATCACAAAAATCCCGTTTGGCTTCAACATTGCCTATATAAAATAATTAAAAAAATAGATTTTTAATTATGTATACATTTTTACATGACTTTAAAATGATGCTAAAATATATACTTTGGACTGAACCAACCATTCTTTTGGCGTATGGAGAATATCAATAAGATTACATCCAAGAATCAGATCAAACATTTGATCAGGGAACAACTTTTGTTGACAATGGCTATCTCCTTGAAATGTTATGAGGTTTAAAACATTCTTTTCCTTTTGTTTTATCTCCATCAATTCCACAAATTTACTTGAGTAGTCGTAAGCTACAACCTAAAATTTACATATTTAAAACACAGCAATAAATAAAATATTATAGAAAACGTGCGAGAAATACGAGACATCATAAAGTATGTACTAGAAAGCACCCATTATACTGAAAACTATATAATAGTAAGAAAACACTATATTTTAAAAAGAAAACACTGTATATTATATAGCACATATTATAATTTGCAAAAAATATAATAAAAAAGATTACACCAAAATATATTGTAATAGTTAACACTAAAAAAAAAAAAGGGAAATAAAAATAACGTGATTCAATTTTAACCTCTCTAAAAGTACCGCAAAGTTCAATTGCAGTTCTTCCAGGTCCACAACCTGCATCCAAAGCTGAATCTAATCCAGTTTTGTACTTACGCGCAGCCAAAATACATACTTCGGCAATATGCTTCGAAAAGTTTTTTACAGAGAAAAGTTCTAAACCAAATAACAAAATGATTTTTCACTGCTGAGTAAAAATAAAACTAAAATAGATTTAAATGATTATTTTGTTTACACTATAGAAACAAAATCACAACCTTTTCCGTAGTGAAACAACTCATACGATTTTAAAGTGTTTTCATCGTCATAATAGTTGGTAGATTTATGTATTTCCATTTTACTTATTAGAGATGGTTGAATACAAATTATATTATCTTTAAGTTTTTTCCATACAGATAAATAAGATATAGCGTACTTGTGCTTATTTTTTGATTCTTTGTACATATGCGGATGTTTATTAGTCTCTAGGCAAACAAAATTTTGTTTTAAAAAACTGAAGGAATCAATATTGCTATCTTCCGCGTGTACATTATCAATGCTTCCTAGAACAAGAGTTCCGTTTATTTTCAATCTTTTAGAAATTTCTTGTAGCTCATGGCATGCATTGTTGTGCCGGAAGTCCGCCACAATCCAATCATAATCTTTAAAAAAAGGTTTCATATTTTTGTAGTCCATTTGATAAAATGAAATTATGTTGTTTTTTTTCTCTAAAAGATTTTCTTTACTTTCTTCAGGTTTAAGATAAAATGATGTTGACTCTGCTATCTCTCCCTCAACTTTCTGAAGCCAACTTATTGATGACTCCTCTAAAAGACTCTTTAAAAGTTGCAGATTGTTTGCAGTTTATCCCGTAAACTCAATTTCTAGGTTACTACATTTTCTTAGTATTTCCAATGCAGCACGCCCAGCACCTCCGTTAACAATCATTACTTTGAGTTTTCTTTCTGTATCAAAATTTTGATATTCATTAATTAGCTCCACAGCTTTGTTTCCGATTGTTAAAGGCCAATTTGAAACAGGTTTTTTTTCTACAAAAGTTTCTGCAATGAAGTTAGTATAATGTTCGGTCAATTTTTCTCCAACGGCCAGATTTGAAAACATTTTATGTACTCTAAAATGGTAATATTAGTAAAACGATGACCTTGAATAAATGAATTCATATTTAAAATGGACTAGAAATACTATATTAAAAGGAATATTATTTATTCTATTTATTTATTTTAATTTTTTTAACTTTTCAAACTTTTTTAAAGATATCTTTAAAATTTATTATTTTTTAAATTTTTTAATGTTATTTGGTGTACCACCGGTGCATAACCAAGATGTTTAATTTTCCTTCCTCGCTTATTGTTTTTAAAATTTTAAAAATATAATTTTAATTTAATATTGTTTAAACTTTTAAGATTTATAGGGTCTAATATAGGGACTTTTGAAAGATTATATCTCAAAAATAATACAATTATAATTTACCATAATAACTTATAATAAATTATATATATTTTTTAAATAATACATTTTCTTAAGACTATCTAATTAACATTTTATAAACTGTAATAAACTTTTAACGCTGTTCCTATATAAATTAGAGTTTCAATAAATTAGAAACTGATAAGTTTTTTTTTTTGTATATGAAAAAAAATACATATATGTATAATAATATATATACATATATGTATAAAATATTGTATGTATATTAATGTATAATATATGCATACTATATATATATGTATAAAAATGTTTAATATGTATATTATACATATATGTATAAAAATATCGAAGGCACATTCCTCCTAATATGTTATATAATATGAGTGTCTACAATCATTTAAGAACTAAAAGTCAAAATATCTTGAGCAAACTTCGTAGTAGTTTTTTGCTAGAAGTTTTTTTTTAACAAATAGCTGTTTTTTTGCGTTTTCACAAACAATTTTAAAACCAACATATTATTTCCAGAGCCCTAGAGGTAACATCTATACTTGTCATATATTTGTTATTTATTTTCTGCTAAACTTTGAATCAAAGTCTCCATGTATTTTACATCTGTTTATTATTTTTTGCGGAATCTTGTAGCTTAAGTACTTTATTTTGGAGCTTATGATATATGAGAGCATCATATATGTGCATCACATTTTCTTTTCTTAAGATTGATTCAATTATATCTTCTTATTTTTTAGGCATGCTAAAAACTGATAAACTCCAAGAACCTAAACAAATATTGTCACATCATCAACATTAATCTTTTTTTAATCCATAGTTTTTTTGGCTACCAAGAAAGATTTGATGAGATATAATGCGATCCAGTCTGAGAGCCAGATAAAAATTATTTAAATTAACCATTAGTTATGACTCGAGTTCGTTTTCAATTTTCAATGTTAGTTCAATTTGCAATCTTTAATTTTAATGCGGTAATCTGTAGATAAAAGTTCGATTGATATACAGTGGTGAGCACTTTCTTCCTAATCAAGAGTTACTAAGTTTGGACCCCACTACATCCTTAACAATGCGCTCGACTTGCTCGATTTGCATTTTTCACAAACATCTGTTGTATCAAAGATATTATTGTAAGCTTTGAACAAACATTTTTCAATTTATGTTTTAGCTTTTTTTTACTTTTTAATTATATGTAATAAAATCTCTAAAGATCAAAAAGAGTCTATTTAAATAATATTATATCAGACTTGTTAAAACATTGAGATATGAATTGAATTGTAAAAATGAACCTATTATTTTTTTGCAAAGACATAAAATATTTTTAAAATTTACATTTCAGTTTATTTTTTTAATCTTAATATTTCATTTCTAGTTTTTATCTAAAGTTTTTGTATAATAATCAATTTACTTTTTTTTTGGTAATATGGTTAACTTGTTTGTTTATCACGGAGCGGTAACTAATATATATATATATATATATATATATATATATATATATATATATATATATATATATATATATATATATATATATATATATATATATATATATATATATACATATATATATATATATATATATATATATATATATATATAAACATCAATACCTAATAAACTATGTTTATTATATATATATATATATATATATATATATATATATATATATATATATATATATATATATATATATATATATATATATATATATATATATATATATATATATATATATATATATATATTACTATGCTTTGCCGTTTGTATAACTTTCTGTCAAGAAATTTATATAAGCGGCTTGTAATTTTATTTTTTGCTGGCGTAACTTTGAACCAAGTTAGTCAAGAAATCTTGCGACTTATCTGCCCCGTTTATTCGACTGACAAGATTTCAAAAAACTAATAAAGTACTTTAATTTTTTTTATTTTTATTGTTCTGTAGCGTAACTTGAGGCTAAGTTAGTCGAATCATATAAAAATTAGTAATGATGATTGCCCCCTAACCAAGTTTAAAATTTGTAATTATCCCTGCGTTCGTTCATTTGAGGATGTGAATTTATATAGTAATAATATTATGAAATACATTTTTTGCCTTGATCTAATTGGTTTAACTTTTACCAAACTGATTTATTTTTAATAAATGATTAAATCCAATTTTATTTTCCATTGAGCCTATTGCAGAACTTTTTCCACTTTTTTTTTCACTTTTCTACAGATCTGAATCAACTGGAAATAGCCTATTTAGTTCATTTTCGATTTATCTGTGTGTGATAATAGTCTGGCAATGGATTTTAGAATATTGACAGCAATTAATTCATATTTAGATGACTCTTTTTACAGTAATCATCCATCGTTTGTAAGCTTGTGCTCTAAGTATCCAAATGAGTTTTTATTAATTGATAATATGTTAGCATTGTCTGTATCGACACATTCTATAGACTTAAGAAAATTAAAAGATGGCCTTGTTAAGCAAGAACCATTTTATATGTGTAAAGATTTTGTATGGTCTGGGTTTCTTTGTGTTCTTGCTCTTTCAACTGTGTGTTCTATAAGAGCTCAGTGTTACTATAGAACAATTGTTTCTCGCCTAAAATATAAAATTATGTTTAATTTTAAAATTGAACCTCATATTCTATGTTTATCATCAGATATTGTTAAATTGTTGCTTTTTTTTGAAGGAATAAACTCTCAAATATGTCCATGTAAACACAATTATTATGTGCCTCCCGTTTTCTTTCCAGATAGGAAATGTTTGAAACGTAAAACTTGTAAAAAAGTTAATTTTACCAATCAATATAACAATTCATATGTTTGCAGAAAAATATAATATGAATGAAGTATCATCTATATTTACCATTAATGATAAAACAGATCCGTCAAGAAGGATCCCTGGATATCATCAGTCGAGATCCAAAAGCAATTAGAGCTGCCTGTTTCGGACCGAACAATCAGACAACGTGCTGTTGAAGCCGCAATGTTTTCTCGACGCTCTGCAAAGAAACCACTGATTTCACTAAAGAACCAGAAGAAAAGACTCCTGTTTGCTACATCTCATATTGACTGGAATGTGAAGAAATGGCAAACTGTCCTGTTCAGTGATCAATCGAAGTTCAACATCATTGGGAGCGATGGCATTTTGCCGTGTACGTCGACCGGCCGGAAAACGCCTCGATTTACGTTACTGCCATAAGACCGTGAAGCATGGTGGAGGCAATGAAATGGTCTGGCGGTGTTTTTCTGCTAACGGTCTAGGTCCAATACATCGAAATGATGGATAATGGACCTTTTCATGTATAAAAATATCCTGAAAGATGTTATGTTACCTCATGCTGAATGGAATATACCAATAAAATTGGTTTTTCAGCAAGACACTGCAAAAGTAGTCAAGCAGTGGTTTCAAGACAACCACCTATCGGTGATGGATTGACCACCTCAATCTCTGGATCTCAACCCTATCGAGGACCTGTGGGAGATTGTCAGCCGCAGAATTAATTGTGAAGGTGTTCGTAATAAGGATCAACTATTTGAACAAATCCAAAAGGCCTGGGCAGCAATTCCACAAAGTTTCATTTATTACCTGATCGAATTTATGCCTCGAAGATGCAAGGCTGCGATCAACAACAAAGGATTCGCCACGAAATATTGATAACGAAATACAGCTTGGTCAACATTTTGTGGAGTTGCACTTGTTTTGTCCAGAAGGAAATCAACTTTTTTTTAATACTTTTGATTTATTAATTTTCATGTACAAATAATGAACTTTGTGATGAATAAAACTTGAAGAACGTTGTCTCTAAACAATTACATAGTTATTTCTCTAAATTGAAAAAATGCCGCACTTTTTTATAAAGAAACTAAATTAGCATTGTTTGGTTACATTTGTTTTGTCCGATACTGTATTTTTACATATATATATATATATATATATATATATATATATATATATATATATATATATATATATATATATATATATATATATATATATATATATATATATATATATATATATATATATACATATATATTTATATATATATATATATATATATATATATATATATATATATATATATATATATATATATACATATATATATATATACATATATATATATATATATATATATATATATATATATATATATATATATATATATATATATATATATATATATATATATATATATATATATATATATATATATATATATATGTAGTGATGCTATTTTGTGCATATTCTATCAAGAAAGTGCTCGATAAACTAAGTCAGAGCTATAATATATATAAAGTAGAAAATAAAACTATCATCAGGTGAAATACAAATATAGTTTGTTCTTTTAAAAAATTATATACAATTGAAACTATACAGAAAAAACCTATACGGAAAAAACTTTTTTTTATTGTTACGACCGCGTGTATTTAATCTTCAGGTTTGTGGTTGCTCAATAGAAATTTATTTTCGTGACGACACTTATATATATATATATATATATATATATATATATATATATATATATATATATATATATATATATATATATATATATATATATATATATATATATATATATATATATATATATATATATATATATATATATATATATATATATATATATATATATATATATATAATATATATATATATATACATATATATATATACCTTTATTGATAAAAAGATCAAGTTATTTTAACAAAGAAACTTTTTTAACTTATTTTTGCAAAAAAAACTTTTCTGCAGACGAGTAAACAACACAAAAATAAAATGCATATTAAATTACCTTTTATTGAAATCATTTTCACTTTTTACGTATCTTATACCAGCGTACTGATAAAAATGTCTTCGAAAAGCATATCTTGTATTCATATTTGCTGAATTTCCGACTGAAATCCAAGATCCACCTAAAAGAAGATTGTGAAATCCATCTAAAAGAGGTATAGTATAATCTTCGTAAAGCGGATCAATTTTAAAACCATTCATTATTGTTAGAATAGAACAACTATGACGCCAGACGTTTCCAGAGACATCGTAAACCATTTGTCCCCCTATTAATCCACCAAATAGATTAACCGGTGTCGGTGATGCGTATTTATTTATATTTGTGTTTAATGTTTCGTTTTGTACCAGAGTTCTCATGTGAAACGATTCTTCCATAGATATAAGCCGTACCTCAATGCCACTTGTTTCACTTTTCCACCGACAAAATGCTTCTGCTTCTAGATTATTTACTTCAACTGGAAAATCCCATGGCATTGGAATTTCTTTTAAAAGAGACCTGTAAGTATTTTTATTCACCCAAAATCGTGGCATTGTAACTTTTAAATCACTGACATAACTCCATCCTTCAGTTGACCACCATTTTTTACCAAACTCTGTATACCCACCAGCTTCAACAAACTCTAAATATTCTGCATTAGAGACAAGCATTTTACTGGCTTTAAAAGGTAGCAATAACTTTTCCTCGGATCCATACTCATTATCCCATCCATAGATATCACTTTCCAAGTTGTCTTTTCCCATAAATATTTTACCACCAGGAATCTCAACTAAAATATTTTTGCAAGACAAAAATGATGATCCATTATTCGAGCTTTTTTTTGAGTAGTATGTTGGAAAGTTAAAATTATGTCTTTTTTTAATTAAAGATGGCGGAACTTGAGAAATAATCACAGCGCTTGTTTCAAGATGAACATTTTCATGTTCAATTCCCATTAAAATTACCCAATGAAAACTTCTTGAGTTAATCGGTAAAGTTATTGGGTGAGAATCAAGCAGCTGTAAAATTAGTTTTTTAACCTGGATGCGATAACTTTTAATTTCTTCTATATATTGAACTTTTTTTTCCTTTGAATACGTGGACCAAACGTAGTTATCTTCACGCCAATCGTCCCAAGACATTTCGTCAACTCCCACAGACATTATAGATTCAATTATTGGATCTATTCTCATTTTAGAATCCAAATAGCCACTTACTACCAGCTTGTTTATATAGAATACTGCAGTGTGGGCAAAGTAAAAGATAAGATGATGACGAAGAGGTTCGGCTCGAACAAAAAAAGCTTCCGGTTTTAAAACTGAGAATAATTTCTCATAAAGATCAAAGGTGTGCAAAAATTGCCGTCGTATTCCGCTATCTTTTGTTTTAGTCAAAGATAAACTGTTCTTAAATATATTGGCAAATAATTCAAAATTGTTTGAAGTGTTGTATGTCCAACAAGATACTCTAACGAATTTCAAATGGTAATTTGTAAACTCAAAATTTTGCAACATTTGTTCTTCAGAATCATTGTAGTTGTTATTTCCGTTACATAAAAGTTTTTTATGCTTAAAAACACTCTCTTTATTGTTTGAAACTTTTTTGTTATCATCATCTTTAATGGAATCTTTAGATTCATGTAAGAAGCAGTCTGGCTCAGTGGACTTAATAGAAACAAACACTCCAAAATCTTGAAATGCTTCTTGTGATTCCTTTAAGTTTTTTATTAAACAAAACTGACAACTTGTTAACTCAAAAGTATTTATAACTCTTTGCGCTCTTGTTTTGGGCAGCAAAGGTTTTACACATAAAGTGTTTAACAATCCGTTGTCTAAAAGGCTTGCAGCGTACTGCAGTTGAGCTTTGCCATATTTTTTAAAAATTTTTAATGCTTTAGACAATGTTATATATGAGATGTATGTATCCAACATCCCTAACCACATGTACCCTGCTTTAATTTGAGCATATGTTTTTCTTTTGGAGTTGTTCCATCCGTATGATATTGCTGGAGGCCTCGGACAAGCTTCAATAGTTTTAAAACGAATTACACCACAAGTTTTAACATTGCCTATCCATTTGTGTGTACTCATAACAAAGTAGTCAACATGTTGAAGTATATTTATATTTTCCTCTAAAAGAAGTTCGCAGCACTGGGTTCCATCAACAACTAAAATTATTTTTTTTGTCTCACAAAATTCGCAAATTTCCTTTAAAGGCAATACTCTGCCACTTTCACTAGCAACTGCATCACAAAATAACACTTCAAATTTACATTTGTTATACTTTTTTGTAATAGAACTTAAAATAACATTAGCATCTTCTTCAAATAAAGCGTTTGTACCAGGTGAGATGTGTACAATTTTATTTATTAAATTGTCATGTTGTAATGTTTCTAACTGTGCCCGGGTTGCCTTGTATAGTGGATTCAGTAGAGCCACCGTTGAATACCTTTTCTCTCGTATCAAGTACTCTTGAACAGCGTTCATTCCAAATGTGCAATTTGGCACCAAAAGAACGTTTTCACTGTTAAAGAACTCGGAGAGGACTTGGTAAGTGTAGTCAGTTAATGGCACACAGAGTTGATCATAAAAAATATCTGGATTCTCCTCAGCAAAACTTTTTAGTTGCAGACTTAAAGAAACTACATCATTATATGCACGGCCAAATGCAGCATTGTCTAAATAAACATTTTTGTCATTTATTTTAATGAGTTCATTAATTTTTAAATCATTGCTTATTTCATCAAAGATTTCATTAAAAATGTTTCCTGGTAATTTTTTTTTGATATTCTCTTTAGATTCAAAATAACATTCAGGATATAATTTTTCCTTATCTTCGACCACACTCATGATAATATATAGTGAAGAATAAAACAGTCTAAAAAATGAAAAAAATTGTCATAAAAAAATATTAAAATATAAACTATAATATTATACAACTATAATGCATTGACAATAATAATACATTATAATCATTTATTGTTATAAATTACGCAGTAGTTATAATATTATATCTGAATTTATTATAATATTTTATCTGATCTTAGTACAGATCAATTTAAACTTTACGAATACAGTATTAAAGTATCTAAAAGTTTTATATCCCCAAAATATTTAATAAAAAAAAACCAGGACCTGTTTACCATGCTAGATGGTTAACTCTAGCTTTAAGGATAATGATGGTTTATGCAAGTGAAGAACCCAACAGATGAGTTTTGCACAATTACAAAGTATATAGCCCAAGCATATTGCCCCATGTGGTTTGTCGATTAAAGATCTGGTCTTTATAAAGATGCTCCTAGACTTTTTCACAAAACAATAGAGCTTGTTAAAAAGAAGACAGACAATATACAACAAGTTGTTTTTCAAAATCTTCAAGGAAACTCTTGTTGCTGTTTTCAAGAAAAAATTTTATATTCTATGTTGCAAGATGATGAAAAAGATATAGGGGCTCAAGCTATTAAGTATATTTTACGCATAAGGCATTCAAGAGAAGTAAATCCTGACGTCAAACGAAAAATCAAAACAAAATTATTTATGCCTATTAACTTTAACGCTGATAAATGGAGTAATTTTTGTTGATGCTTCTTTAATTAAGGTCGAACCTCTAACTTTTATCTTAAATTCATCATTTGAGTTAGAAAATGCTTAGCAAATTTCTAAAAAAAACTATTCTTACAGATTTACCCAACAATTCATAATCGGTGAAAGGTCGGTGAAGCTTGTATTAGAGGCATCAAAGAAAGTCAAGAAAGAGACAACTTTATCCTCACTAAAAACCAAAGAAGAGCAGAAAACAAATGGTGTTTATCTAAAACTGATTAATTTATACCTTTTTCTTAAAAAATTTTTTTTTTCAATTTAAATTTAGTTCACATACCTAAATCTGAGGGTATCCTTGACTTGTCTGCGTCAAAAATAAAAATTTCAAATCTTTCTTAACTTTTAACTTTAAAATCACTCTTGCGCAGAAAAACGTGGTAATTCTAGAAATAAACGGGGTCAAAGGCAGCCAGAACCAAAATTTGAATAGAAAAACAGGTTTTTAAAAAGATAGGAGAAGGGGTAAGGTAATACACGCGTGTGTTTATGTAGTAAATATTTATTCAATAATAATCAAATATTTTTATGGAAATATATTTGTATCAAAGTTTGTTCTAAAGTATGTAAATATTGAGAATGATATAAAAAAGAATAATTCATTGAAAACAAGAAAATACTTAAAAACTTTAACACCATTTGCCAAAAATTACCAGTTTTATTTTTTATTTTTTTAATTTTTTTTTTTAATTTTTTTTTTTTCATTTATTTTTTTTCTCCTTTACGTATACCATATAAATATACATTTATTATAGTGAAAAAAGAAAAAAATATAATACAAAATTTTTATGTAATAACATATCTATAATAACATATATTTATTTACAAAAAAAAAAAAAAAAAGTAAAATTAAATAACAACTGGAAAGTTTGATAAATAGGCAGTCACGATTGTTGAAATTCAAAAAATGCCAAAAGAAATGTTTTTAGAATATAAAAAAGAAACTGCTGCAATGTTTTCAGAATATAAAAATGAGGTAGCGATTATATTAAAACAGCAAGAAAAATTATTATCGATATTTTAAGTGCAAACACCAAGAAATTCAATTAAAGACTAGAAAAAATTGAACAAAAAGTTAATGATAATTTTAACAAAATAAAGTTATTAATTAAAGATGTAGAAGATGTTAAATTGAGCTTGAATTTCCACGAGGAGTTGATTGATAAAAAAATTGCCAGTATCAACGAACGAGAAAACGAAAAATCAAGAAAAGAAACATCATTTAGTGAAAATATCAGGGAAAAACAAAAAATATCTAAAGATAGATCCAGAAGAAAAATCTAACAATTGATGGGTTGTTGGAAACTGAAAAAGAAAGTTGGAATGAAACAGAAAAAAATCTTCAATCGCTTTTTGCAAATAAATTAGGATTAACCGGAATAGATGTAGAGCGCGCTCATCGAACAGGGTTAAAAAGAAATGAACGCTCCAGAACAATAGTTATTATTTTGCTGAGGTATAAAGACAAGGAAAAAATTCTAAAAGAGTCATATAAGCTTAAAGGAACTAACGTGTATGTGAACGAAGACTTTTCCCGTGAAACTGTGGAAAAAAGAAAAAAGTTATTGGCGGAAATTAAGAAAAGGCGGTCCAACGGTGAAAATGTTTATCTTAGGTATGATGAAATTATTACTTCAAAAAACTCTTTACTTAAATTTAGTAATAATAAATCAAATCAAAATTAAAAAGTTATATATATTTTAAATGGGTATTTCTGCAGCCGCTTTTCAAAACGCCTTAATGTTAAAAATATCAGTTTTAACTTTTTTACAAAATAAGCTGGTTTATAAGTCTACAAACGTTATTGAAAACATATTTTCAAAGAGATCTGAAAAAATTCATAAAAATTATTCGTTTCAAAAAGCGTTTAACAAAGAGTTTCTCCAAACAATTTTTTTTTAAATTGTGTTTTTCTCGAAATATAAGCGTTATATCGAAATATATGTTAAGGCGTTTTGAAAAACAGCTGCGGATTTAAACGCATACATATATATACTTTTTTTTTTTAACATTTAATTGGCGGAAAATGATATTTTGAATGTTTTTGATATGTTTACTAGAGAAAACACTCTTGTTTTATAAATGACTTTGACCCTGACATCAATTATTTTAATAACTTTTTAATACATACTGTTTATTTTAATATAAGCCATGCCTCAAGATATTTAAATTCTTCATTATTAAATTTTTCATTATTAAATTTGAACATCAGGAGTATGAGTAAAAATTTTGAATCTCTAAAAATGACTTTAAAAAATTTCAACTACAATTTTAGTGTAATCTGTCTAACGGAAACTTGGTGTCAAAATGGCGATGAAATAAATTATAATTTTTTTCCACCAGGTTATAATTCAATACACCAACCCAGAAAAAACGGCATTGGCGGGGGCGTATGTTTTTTTATTTTTAATTCTTTTATTTTCAGAAAATTACTTAGCCTCAGTGTCAGGTAAGAATATGTATAACTTCAATAAATTGTTTTAAAAATATAGTTAAGCAGTATTTACTTGAATTAACAGACGCAAACATATTTTAAGTAAAAAAAAAAAAAAAAAAAATCTTGTAATATTTCTTAATATATCTGATTATTTATCTTTTGCAATTTATGAAATTCTTGTTGCAATAACTTTTTTTTTTTTTTTTTTTTTTTTCTTTTCCAGGTATACCATATAAAATATACATTTATTATCGCGATAAAAAGAAAAAATATATATAAAATTATTACGTATCAGATTGATAAAAATACATTAATATAACTTTGATACATTAATATAGTATTGATGCAAACTTAATATAAGTTCTGGTATAATAACTATTATATACATGTTTTTTTTTCTATACTTTATTACCTAAGAAAAGGAAATCAAAGAAGATTCAGCATTTTTGGGTTTAAAACTCCAAAAAAAATCTTTTCGCAGATTCCCTTAATAGCGCCGTTTGGCTTATATCTATTTCTATATAAAAAGTTAATTAAGTAAAATTAGAAATAATATTTTGTAATTAGCTTTGTAATTACTATTTCTACTGTTATATACATATATATATATATATATATATATATATATATATATATATATATATATATATATATATATACACATTTGTATATATATATATATATATATATATATATATATATATATACATATACATACATACATACACACACACACACATGCACTATATATATATATATATATATATATATATATATATATATATATATATATATATATATATATACATACACACACACATCTATATATATATATATATATATATATATATATATATATATATATATATATATATATATATATATATATATATATATATACATATATATATATATATATATATATATATATATATATATATATATATATATATATATATATATATATATATATATATATATATATATATATATATATAAATATATATATATATATATATATATATATATATATATATATATATATATATATATACATATATATATATACACATACACAAACACACACACTCACACACATATATGTATATATACATTTTATTTATTTATTTATTTTTATTATTATTATTATTTTTTTTATTTTTATTTTTTTTTTTTTTACTTTTATTTTTTAATTTTACTTTTTTTTTTTTTTTTTTTTACAAACTAAGAATATGCAGCTTTGCTTGCCGTTTAAATGACGATATTCCATTTAAGTCTTTTAATTTTTGATTTTTCAAGTTTTTCTATATTTTAGGACCCTGTGACATAATTGAAAATTCAGAACCCCGGGTTTTAGTTTTTTTAATATCATAGTTATGAAAGCTATTTGATCGTAGATGATAACTTTGAGAAAATGATGACGAGAATATGTCTAAAAAAGAATTTAGTAGCATATTATTTTTATATTTGAACTTAAAAATAAGAATCTGATATAAATTAAGTTTTTCCAAGTTTAAGACTTTCATATTTGTTATCGCATTGGAAGGATTGTCCATTCTACCTAAATAATGAATTGCTTTACAAGCATGGTTTTGCACACCTTGTAGTTTGATTAATTTTGTTTTGTGTGCATATAATGTGTTAACTTGTTTTTATATAACGAGTATTTGTAAATTTATATAATGCGAAATTTGTTAAAAGTACTTTACGCTTACTATAGGGGTTTGATGACAAGACTTCTACTTGCTCCTGTCGTTATTAATTTTTATCTAAATTTTATTGATAAAAGTTGTAAAACAAGAACGTTTATTGATGTATCAGGTTGATAAAAATACATTAAT